CCGATCCAAAATCGGGAGAGGTACCCCGCACAGCCACTCCACCTCCTGATCGCAAGTAGGCTTTGTGAAGGAGCGGAGATGAAGCTGAGGTATTTGGTTCAGATTGATATTCCCTATGCGTATACCCTGGCTTTAAGTAATACTTTAATCAACGACGCATCATGACGCTATCGTTTCAGTCTGCTATACTAGAACTCTACACTGCACTGTAACCAAGTCTGATAATGGTGCATAGGAGTACTGTTCATAGAGGCGCTCTCGTCTCTTGCCCCTATGAGGGTTTTCTCGCATGAATTACCACAACCTCAAAGTACGCATGGACCTTCCTCTCCTTCACCCCCGATCTGAACTTAGCAAAGAAAACCTGGGCCTCTTCGACCGTCCAGCCCATAACTTTCGTCAGCAGATACAGCCCCCAGCCCTCCGCTCCTTGCGTGATGTGCAACAAGTTCCACCTACCCAACTCTTTCATATGAGGATCAGCCGGCCACCCATTGACAGGGACCTTGTACACCCGCTCTTCGACATCCTTGAAACCCGCATTACGGATATACGTCGACAAATTCCAAACCTCGTAGAACGACTTACCGAAACGCTCGGACGCTTCATGGAAGAGATCGCTCCACTGAGATAAGACGTGTTCTTTGGTCAACGTGCCATCGTCGGATTTGAACTGGATGCTCATTTCCATTTCGTGGAGGTAGCCGCCTGGCTCGAGGTTGTTGTAGACTTGTGTGTAGAGTGCTGGCCAGTCGCCGATAGAGCCGTACAAGGAGCGGATGTTGATGAAGTCGAAGGGCTGGGTGTATGTCCATGGGAGAGTGACGTCGTCAATTTCGAATTTGCAGTTGGGAGGTGTGAATTGCGGTTGGATGGGGGAGAGGTCTACGCCGAGGATTTCGGCGCTGGGGTACTCTGGGAAGTAAGTCAGTTATAATATTCAGGAGATGGAGGTAAGAGACATACCGTCAGCCATGTCCATACACCATATCCCTGTTCCGCATCCCAGATCCAACACCTTCCTTGGCTCTTTGATAGGCGCCAGATGCAGCTTCTGGTTCAGCATGATCAGAAACATGTGATGCGCAATGTCGAGTTGATCGTTCTGGATCTCATCGTTGGGACCCCAGTAATCATTGTCGCCTTCACGGTACTTGTGGTAACGGCGGCCGTTTTCGAAACGACCTTTATGTATGGTTGAAGCGATGGAAGTTGTGTCGCTTGCAGCATCATCGTCGCCTAGAGCCGAGTCGGCGTCTGTACTATCCTGCTGATGTCAGAAGCTTCCTGAGAAATAATGGGTCGCGACGTTTGTTCCGCGGCGCATCATGTCTGAATGATCAAATTCTGTGAAGGAAATATTGGAATACTTACAACTAACACAAGTGGATTGACAACTTCCGCTGTTGGTGCAGGACCTTCCACTGTTTCTGAGGGAAGCCCTGTTAGAATTGCTTGACCAGCAGATGCTTCCGCTGGATCTGGTGAGGTGGTCGCCTCTTCTGGTGCGTCAGATGATACAGTGTTATCCTTTAATGGTGATGCAGTTCCAGGATATGGTGGTGCAACGTTCGCGGAGCCATCTCCAGCAATTGGATTATCTGATGGTGCAGTTGCTGACTCGCCCCCAATTGCCTTCTCTTTTCCTTTTCCAAGAGTTGCCATCGTAGAGATTCTGTTTCACTCTGTAAGCTGAACAACTTGGCTAATGGAAAACTGGCCGCCACAAGTTTTGTAAGTCTCAAGTGTTCTTCGAGCGACTGTTAGCGCGGCTATCAAGGCCAGTGACAATAGCCGCGACTGTGCCTCAATCGTACAGCAACGGCACGGAAAGAAATGGGGCAAGTAGATAAGCGAGTATACAAAAACCACTATGACGTCGTTTGATGGGTCTCGAATGACTTCAGATGCGGAAAAGGTACGGAAAAATTCAAAGATAGACCCTACCAGAAGGGAGAGATGATTAATAACGGTAGGTGCCGTTACGAAGACCCTGCCCAGACGGTAACATGATCAAGGCGCGCCTCTCCACAGGGCTAGAACGAACTGGCGCTGAGGTCCGAAGTGCTTCACACCAACGTGCATACAAGGGCAAAAACGTGGTTGTGGACCGAGATCGCGGGAGCTTCCTGCAGGCTCGACACGACGCATCGTAGCCTGTTTTCGACCGGATTGTTCTCCACCGGATGATTCGCTGGAGTAGGTTTCGCGATCGGACGAGATTTGATTGCGAAAACATAAAGAGTCGGTTACTGCTTCGTGTAAGATGATACTTGAGTCACTTGACGCTGCATTGCTGCTGTACTAACTTGCCCTATCAGCTTGTTGCGTGCCTCAATCGCTCAGCTAGGGAACCTTGACAATCAACAACACGACGCTAGCGCAAGCAGTCTTGACGTGCCGTGGCGCTTGCAAACCACTCCGGTTCCCGCTATCCTCTGTGAGGGATTGGACTTGGTTCCAGATGTCGCCATGACTTCCGTCAAACGTTGCTCGTTGGTGGGGCGCACCGAGGAAGGTATGGACAACACATGGCTTGGTCACCATGCAGCTGCGAGCTCCGCATCTTCTCCAATCCTCCAAATTGGTGCTTGACCGATCAGAGCCAGTAACAATGGTTCAATAGGAGCTTGCAGCAACGCTCTCCGCTAGTTTCTGTAGCGCACAACGGCGCCCGCGCTTTCAGGAAGGGTTGCCCCACTGATGGGAAGAACTCCCATTCATCATTTGCAACTTCAAATCCTTGCGCTCTGACATCACTTCAGGCAAGCCATGGAGTCTGTTCCGCCCGAGTCATTGCTTGACAGCGTCTCACAGCGCCTGTACGCCATCGCATTCGTCGCTGTGGCGTTCTTCGCTATCGGCCGCATACGACAGTACTTGCGTCTGAGACATTTCGCCGGACCCAGGACAACGGGATTCTCTTGGCTGTGGCATTCCAGAGCTGTCATCGGTGGCCAATCTCCTAGGTACTACGGCGAGGTTTGCGAGAAGTACGGTACGTGTCAGGAAGGCAAAAGTGCTACGCGATCTGGTGGCCTTATACTGATACTCCTCATAAGGGCCGATTGCCAGGATCGCACCGAACCACCTCATAACATCAGACCCAGAATACTGGGCACGGATCAATGCCGTGCGCTCACCGTATAAGCGATCATCATGGTACTACCATAGTGCTCGGTTTGAGACGGGGAAAGACAATGTCTTTACAGATTGCGACAACGATAGCCATGATGCCAGACGGAAGAAGATGACAGCCGGGGTACGTGGATACACAATCTGGATGATGAGGTTGCGCACCTCTAGCGGAAATTTGAGCAGCTGCGTGACCGATCTGCACTTACTAACGTATTGCAGTACTCTGGTAAAGAGAATCCAACACTAGAGCCTTCAATAGACATCCATGTGAAAGAACTTGTGAAATTGGTGCGCAAGTATGCGGCCCCAAAAGCGTCAACGAAACCATCCCAGGCCATGGATCTAGCTCAGAAGATCCCCTTCTTTACATTGGACGTAATCAGTCATGTAGGACTGGGAGAAGCATTCGGTGACTTGAATGCCGACAAAGACCTCAAAGACTACCTGAAATCGAGTGAAGAGGGTCTCAAGATTGGAAACACGGCTTTCGCGATTGGTATAGCCTGGCTCAGAGATACGCCCATCATCGGCCCCGCTATCAGTCCATCGGAGAAGGATGCCAGTGGGTTCGGTAACATGATGGCTCAAGCACGAAAGATAGTCGACTCCAGGATGTTGAAGTCAACTGAAGACAAGTCTGATATGTTCGCATCATTCGTCCGCCATGGTCTCTCGGGCAACGATCTTTGTAAGTGACACGAGTGTTGTAATACACGATGCTGGGCGTCGACTGACCCATCATGCTTAGTCCAAGAAGTCTTCGAGCAGATTCTCGCTGGATCTGACACTACAGCTGCTGCCATTCGGACCATTTTGCTTTATGTCATGAGCCACCCGCGCGTGTATGCAAAGCTGCAATCCGAGATAGATGAAGCCGTCAGAAGCGGCACGGCTCCCGCATCTCCTGGCATCATCTCAGATGCAGAAGTGCGCCGCCTGCCATATCTGGGCGCTGTCGTCCGTGAAGGAATGCGAGTAAGTATTGTCCTTTCTGGAAAGAACATGGATCTTTGAGCCAGTATGCGCTAACAGTACACCCTGCAGATACATCCGCCAGTCGCCAACATCTTTTCAAGAGTCACTCCGGATGAAGGAGATGTCGTGACCATCGACAATAGGGAGTATCACATCCCCGGCGGCACCTTGGTCGGCTACTCAGCCTGGACGATGCACCGCAACAACCGCGCTCTCTACGGCGAGGACTGTGGTACCTTCCGTCCTGAACGCTGGCTGATTGATATAAGCGACGAGGATGCGAAAGACCGTCTAACCAGAATGACAAAAACCAACGATATGATATTTGGGTACGGTCGGTGGCTCTGCCTGGGACGCAACATCGCGTTGATTGAGATACACAAGTGCATCTTTGAATTGTTGAGGCACTTTGATCTGTCGTTGACCAACCCACTGGAACCATGGAAGACGTTCAACTCGCTTGGGCTATGGGAGATCAAGGACATGTGGGTGGATGTCACCTTGAGAGAGTAGAACTACTTTAGTCTGCATCGGAGCTGGCGAAATGAAAATTTGACGTGTTTGTTGCATATCTCACCTGGTGTAGTCGAACCCATAGTAGATTGGTGTTCTGACGCGTTTTGCTTTGCTTGGTTGTGAGGGCAACATTGATGCTCGAGTTCCGGGCAGCCAATCGGCTGAAGCGCAGAGAGCGACGTACCAGCGACGAATATGTCTGAGCCTGGGACCTCTCCACCCAAATATGGCAGCATTGACCAAAGTCGCATAGCTCATATTCTCGAGATAATCGCCATGTGCGCAGACCTGACGGATCTCTCCAACAGCGACAAACGGCCGTGGCTGAAGTAATCCGGAACATGGCAAGAGCGCTCCATATCAAACCAACCATGGCAGCCACCTTCGCCCGCCATCACAACTTCGACCAAGTCCCCACGTACAATCACGGTAACGCCATCGCGAACCAACAGCCACCTTACGATGCCTATGCCGCGTCGCATCATCATGTCGCAGCCCGCCACAGCAACATGGCAGCCTATTGCGAGCCCACGACCGGCAACCCCCAACATGCTGCCAGCATGAACGACCACGGGCAACAGCACGATCACAGCTACTCCCCAGACGACACGTCTGGAAAGCGCGAGAGCTTTCAGCATGGCTTAGCCGGCCAACATCACGACTACAGGATCCACAGCCCTACGTCCGAAGCATCTTACATTGGCATCCAGCACAATTCGGCACAAGCACCCCTAGACAATGACGCGTCCGACCGTCAGTTCGCTATGCTCCCGCCTTCCAACTCGATACACCCTTCGTGGCAATCCCTCCACGATTACGCGCAGTCGCACGCCGCGGAAAACGGGTATGCGCTATCTATCAATACGACGGCTAAGAACAGGTCGCGCATCAAACTCGCCTGCGTCTGCTATGGCCAGCCGAAGAATACCCACAAACTTACGGCCGAGACGAGGGTCAGGAAGAACAGGGTCAGCTATAAGACAGGATGCAAGATGTGGATCGAGGGCAAGAAACAGGACGACGGCACGTGGCTATTGCGCGTCGGCGAACCACAACACAACCACCCTGGGCGCGAGAGTGCTGGATGGGCTGTACAACGCAAGAGAACGTGGGGCGTAGTAGGAGGGCGCATCGGGGTGGGAGGCGTCACAGCGAAGGAGGAACTCGCCAAGTCGAGCCTGACGCAAAATCAGGAAACCCTCGAAGACGTGGATGCGGAAGCCGACGGCGACGAAGACATACCCAGCGCATCTACACAGGCACCGAAGAAGCCACAACACAGCCTCGAGCGTGGAGGTCTCGTGTGGAGAATCGTTGAACAAGAAATGCTACGAAAGGGCGAACCCAACCAGGGACGCGACCGAGGGGTTGGAAGAACAGTCGAAGTGCTACAAGCAAGACTACCGGGTATACACATCTTTAAGCGTGACGTTTACAACATACGAGCGCAGATCAAGAGAGCCCGGAAGGCAGCAGGCCAACAAGTCGGCGACGGCCTCAACAGCTCAGACGATGAGGCCGAAGCCGATGCCGAAGTCGACATCCACGACACCGCACAACTCAGCGCTGACACCAGCACAAACCATCCGACTCAAAGACCCGCTCCACACCCACAGAACACATACCAACACCCCACCTCTCACACCCTCAAACCGCCCGCGCCCTTCCCACTCGTCCGAAAAGATTCACGCATCGACCCCTTACTGGACAGTCGCGGACCGCCGCCACCGAATCCTCCCGAGGCCGTCGATATAGAAGTCGACCAGTTGAGGCGGGAGAATGCAGAACTAAGACGCATGTTGACGGAACGGACGAAGCAGGTCAAGGAGAAGACTACTGAGTTAGCGGAGCGGGCAAAGGAGATCAAGGATAAGACTACGGAGATGGCGGCGCTGAAGAGTCAGGTGGAGCTGTTGAGTAATATGATGATGACGAGTGGGAGGGGGTTGATTGGGGGTTAGTGGATAGATATAGTGAGAGATCGGGGTGATCCGCGTTGGGGTAATGATGTGGGAATGTAGACCCATCTGTTGTACGAAGATGAAGATATGCAAAGGTAGTCAGATATACATATATAATCGTAAACAACGACCCATCGAATAAGCTAAACAAAAAGCCAAGAGGTATCTCAGAAAGGTATCCGTAAAAACAACCCTCCCAAAAAAGGTCCCTTTGCAAACTCCCAGTCAACAGCATCAGCGTGGTATCCAGCACCAGAAACTCCATCATAAGCTCATAGCCAACTCGTTAACCCGTCGCTCATATCAGTCACGGTTTCAGTGACGTGCTTTACGCCTCCTCGACCATGTCCTCATCTTCGCCCTCGGCGAGCATATCCTGCTCTTCGCAGCTACGCTCGACCTCGTCGGCGATGAACTGCTCGTACTCCTCCAAACTCTTCTGTACGTGGAGTTTGAAGCGCACAATGTCGTCGAGCATGCGCTCGATTTCTGTGTGGAGTTCTTCGCGGAGGGCGTTGGCGCGGAGTTGGAGTTGTTCGTACCTGAAGTAGACAATTAGCTTGCTGTCATAGAAAGTCGAATGAGGGGAAAGGGTCAAGGACTTACTCGATGTTGACGGCCATCTCTCGTTGTACCATGAGTTGGACGCTTTCTCCCAGACCGCTACGCATGCGGCCCAGTTCTTTCTCCATGCGCTCAATCTGTGCGTCAGATTGGCTCTTTTGCGTGTTTGTTATTTCGCGGAGCTTTTCTAGCTCTTCTTCTGCTTGAGCTACGCGGTGACCGAGAGCTTCGACTTCGGCTTGCTTGTCGTCCATGGCTTCTTTGATCTTGTCGAGGAGATCGTGGTTGTTCATGTCGGCTTCTAGGGCTTGGTTGCGTCGTTCGGCAATCTCTTTGCGGAGTGCAATTATGTTGGCTTTGACTGTACCACGGAGGTCCAGGTTGAGGAGATGTGCTGGCGAGTACCCTGTGCCTGCGTCGTGCAGAAGACGGTCTGATGCGTCTTGTGACGAGCCACCCATTTGTGACCCTGAGAAGTTGGGGCCATCTGTGATAGTGAGGACAAGTTCATAGTCTTGCCCCTTGGCGTTGACGGCCGTAGAAGGGATGACGCCGATCTGGTAGCCCAGATTGTTGTACCGCTCGATTGTTTGTTCGAGTTCATCCAATTTGCGAGATGCAGCGATTTCCTTCTCTGCAACCCGCTTCTTGGACTCCTCCAAGCGGACTGTCGTTGCTTGGAGAGAAGTATCAAGGCGGTCTCTTTCATTTGCCATACGGTCGATATCCGCAATGGTCATGCCTCGACCGTCAATGATAGCTTGGAGCTCTTGCTGCTCCTTCTCTGAGGCCTCAAGTTCAGCCTCAATCTCTTCAATGGACTTCTCTAGGAATGAGCAGCGGTCACTGTACTTCTTGACCTTAGCGTCCATGGAGTTGTTGTAGTTCTCAAACTTGACACGATCTTCTTCGAGGATGCGGATCTGCTCCTCCAGCTTTTGGATCCGGGGGCCGGACTTTCCTAGTTCTTCGATCTGATCCTGTAGGTATTTGTGCTCGGCCTCAAGGAGGGAGACCTGCTCGTGATGCTGGGCATTGGCGGCGTCGAACTTGGCGGCCATTGTCCGGATATGAGGCTCCATGTGCTTCTTCTGTGCTTCTTCATCGTCATCGTCGTCTTCTGCGGAAAGCCAAGTGCTGTAGGCGTCTGACAAGAAGTCAAAGATGATGCGGTCTCCAGAGACGTCGAAGCCAGCCTCAAAGCAAGCGTCGTCGTATGTACCGGCCTCATAAGCCTGCATCAGGCGTGCCAATTGCATCATCCAGTGCAGAAGACCCAAGAATGTGTACCAGTTGTTTCCACCAACAGCCGCGATCTGGGACTTCATGATCGACTTCTCAAACGGGTAGCGCATCTGCTTCAGTAGGACGGGCACCTCCTGATCGATGGACTTCTGGAAGCGATAACTGGGATCGATTCGGTTGTAGAGCCATTGGAACATGCAGTTGAAGTCTTTCTGCGTTGGCGAAGTCATGGCTTTTGCTGAGAGCACATGTTTCGACTCCATCTCGAAGTTGTTTTGGGTCAGGAATTCAAGCAGCTCCTGAGCCATGTGCTGACGGGTGCTCGCATCTTTGAGTCGGCGCGGGTCCGTCGGGGGGACGGATGGCATAGGCGCCTGTTGGAAGAAGGATTGTTTTACACCAGATTGTCCAGTTACATGCGAGGCTCGCGATTTGAACACGCTGCTCCGCCGTTGTGCGCTCTGCTCAAAGTTTGGCCCTGAAGGGGGAGCGGGGGTCTGGAATATGGAGGCGCCGGGCGCAAAACTCTTGCGCGCACTGCTTGCGCCGAAGTTGCTAGTTGAATTGCGATGTACGGACTGGAAGCCTTGCGCAAGGTCTGTTCCAGAGGATGAGCGTGGGAAGAGCGGCTGGCTCGGGCGACCGGGCGCGAGGGACATTCTACTCCCACTCTTCGACCGGGCGTGGTTCGGAGGGAATTGGGGTTGGTTCATGTTGTTGATGGAGCTCGAGCGCTTCATGGCGGAAGCGGGCATGGGAATCGCAGAAGAGTTGTTGTTTACTGGTCCTAGAGTCTGCGCGCGTGGTTAGGAGATGCGACGAGAGGGGGTCGCACACTAGACTGACCTGACGGCGCACCGAGAACATACCCGGGTCGGCCATAGTATGTGTATGTTGTGTCAATTATGCAGCGATTGTCGTCTGTTCGCGACGTCGCGGGTCAGCAAGGCGGGAGGCCGAGGGGGGTAGGGCTGGTGTTGACGCACCCGTACCCGCCTATGCAATGTTTGTTGTGATCAGGGTTTCGCGCTAGCCCACCGCAGCAACGCGCCTGGTCCGCGCCACGTGGGGTACGTATCTTGCATTGTTGACGTCTGATTATCTCGAATACGAGGCAGGTGGAGGCGGTACTAAGGTAAGAGTGTTTATTTATAGCGACCGGCGGCGAGAGATGCCATGGCCAAAGACGCACTGTCGAAGAGAACGCTAGCAGGTAGTGATATGTAAAGCCAGAGTAAAGGAAGGCTGCCAACCCCGTCGTCCTCCCCAGTCGCCACAAGATCTCATCTCGGACGCACTCATACGTGCCACTTCATCGCTATACTGTATCGACTGGGGTATCGTTGTGCACATGCAAGCCAAAATAATGATGCCACAAATTTTCAAAACTCCAACCTGTGGCCCGTGAAAGGTATAAACAATAAGGACATTAAACTCGAAACCCGTTAGAAATGCATCGTCAACATGCCCCCGTTGAAAGTGTGTTTTAGGCGTCTACCACCGTGTCGACTTTGGCGTGTCTGCCTTTCCTATGTTCTTGAACATGTCATCGGCGCCGAGACTCAGCGTGTCTTCGTTGACACCGAAGGAGCTCAGGCCGGGCAGGGCTGGAGGCGGTGGGCCCTTGGGCTTGGGTGGTTGCGCAGCCTGTACGGCAGGTTGAGAGACGGTACGGCCATTCGAGTAGGTTGTGGAATCCACAGTGCCTTCTGGAACAGATCCGGAGATGAATGTCTTCCTCTTGCCGAACCAGCTGCCGCTCTTCCTCCTGCTGAGACTGGGTGCTTGGCTGTTGATTGTAGCCGGCGAGCCCGGCCTCTGGTCCGACTTCAAGCTGTCGTTGGACGACAGCGTCCGAATGCCGAGGAACTTGCGGACGGATGCAGGCCGCTTGCTCGAAGGGCTCGTGGGGGACATGGCGCTGGTCGCATCGCTGGTGCGGCTCTGCTGGAGGTGGCCATCAGCCGAGTCCTCTGACGCTTTGCCTGGCGGCGGCGACTCTGTCTGCGGCGGGGAGCCAGGCGACTTTGGGGTGGGATGCGATGACAGTGGGCCCTTTCCAGGCGTGGGCGGGCGAGGTGACTCGGGCGGGCTGTCGAGCGGCGCGGGTATCGACGTGCCCTCGGTCAGAGAGAAGTTGATGGGCGAAAGCGTCAGTGGCTTGAAGGAGAACTTGTTGGAGCCCATTGCAGTGTCGTGGTGGGAGACTCGTGTGGTAAATTGCGGTGGGCGATCAATAAACCCAAGGTGCGGTGGAGTGGAGGCAATTGAAGGCTGGGAGCGACGCGGCAGCAGATGAGAGAGTCTCGCAGAAGCCGCAGGCGGGTGGAAGCTCAGGAGGTGCTTTCGTGAAGCGGAGTACGGGCCAGGGATTACACGACGGTTAGCAGGGATCAGCGCCCTGCACCACCCAGAGGCGCTGCGGATACGGCGCGCCAGCCTCGACCTTCCCCAGGGACACGCCCTGCCTGCTACCCCAGGGACAAAAAGAATAAGACGTGAGCCAAACACGCGCGCGTCAGCAACCGTCGTGCAGCGCTGCATGAATGCGTGCCTGCAGCGCGTCACCTTCGAGCTTCTAGCGCGACAATTGTACCAGAGAATGCAGTGGGTCAGCCACCCGAGTCAGCGTCAAGGCATAATGCAGCAGAGCCGTGCCGGACGCGCATCGCATGTCGCCATCTGCCTCCGCATATCGATTTGATTGAGACCCTTTCTGTGATCTTCAACGGTTATCTAGACCCATATCGCTCTCGCTGCGACGTGCTTCAAACACGCACTGCAGCCGTGTACCCCTCCAAAGTTTATCCGCCACATGGACGACCCCTATTGCCGTAGCTTCCGAAGCACCCTGATGTCATCGCTATGCACAACCTGATCCGGGCCGCTCTTATCTTGTCTTTCGCTGATGCACCTCGTCCAATTCGGTAATCTCGTCGAGCAGTTGGCACGTCTCCTGCGGGTTCGCGATCCACGCCGTTGTACATGCCAACCGAGCCTTGAAGTCGTTCGCCCCAGCACTCAAGAACTGGTCGCCAACGTGCAATGTTTTGCTGCCCTCAATCCCGCCAAAGATCCGCTGACAGGCAAGGACACCCCAGGACTTATCTCCGATGTCGACGAATACGTCGTTTCCGCCGTTGAACGCGCAAAAGGGGAGACGCTGGCCGACCTCGGATATTTCCTAGCCA